TGATTCTTCCGAACATGTACTTTCCAAGCAGTTTAAATATTCTATAGAGATGCAGAAGACCGCTTCATTTTCTGAAAATTTGACGGACATTGTACCTTCATTATGAAAGCCACTAGCGGACGTTTTACCATCCGGACAGCATCCGAATTTGGTTAGCAAGCAATCCTCACCACAGCCGGTACCATTTTTGCCTAACGCTGCTGTTTCACCATCCGGGCAACAGCCGTACGCTGACAACTCGCACGGAAATGACGATCGCTCACAGCCTTCAAAACAAATAATGTCAAGTGCACTGAACTGATAATGATAAAAAGTAACAGAAAATCCAACTGGGAACTGATATCTGCATCATATTAATAATCACCAGCATAATGCGGTCCGAACGCAATTGTTTTGCGATCCTTACAGCAACCGTAAAGAGACGCAGCACAGGTTGGCTCTCCGCAACCCTCGTAGTTGGGACCACGTGACAGTGTTACCTCATCCGGACAGCAGCCGTGCGTTGTTTCATTGCAAACGCCTGAAATTACGAACAAATGCTGATGTATTTTTCCATTCAAAATTTAAATCTGCACGACACTTCTAAGAGCCATTATTGCTCACTTTTCTGACCCGTAACCATAAATGTGCATTTTCCGAAAATTCCTCCTGAGACAAAACAATTTTGGGTTATCATCGCCCTTGGACCCCAAAGACCAAATGCCCCACTCCGCCAGAGCGTAAGATTAGCACCAGAAGCTTCACCGGAAGTCACTCACCAAGCACAAAGAGAGGACATCCTTGGTTTTCTTTTCCTTCAGCTGGCGTGGCCCAATCTGGACAGCAACCGAATTCCGTTTTCGAGCAGTGCTTAGTAACATTTTGACCTGTTACATTTCCGAACAGTTCTGCATCACTATCAACCGTCTCATTTTCCGGTTTTTTGCATGCTACAGTTGCAGTTTCACCAGTTTGATCGTTTACAACCTCGCACATTTCTTCTTTGCTGCAGAAAAAAAAAAAATAAACGACATTGACGAGGTTGCTGTAAAGAGCGGATCCATCCCTATCTGCTCTCATAAAGCGCCAAAGCTATTTAAGACCAACAGAAAATGCAGAAAGCAAAACAGCTGACTAAAAAGGCACAAATTCTAGCCAGTAAAGTACCAATACTCGTTTAAATGCGCTAAACTGCACAAGAAAACAACAGACAAGACCCTTCTTTCTTTGGCATAATTTTTTTTTGTAAATTATTTATTTCATTAAATATCATGCACAACAAAGCAGTCTGCGTTTCATGTTAAAAAGCAGTCTGCGTTTCATCCTTTGGTTGTAAACACACACTGAGCGCGGCGTGCCTTCCTTTAGAGAAAATTATCCAAAATCTGAAGCAAAAACAAGAACTATCTTAACCTCGGCTTCTCCTCGATAGATGCTTCACTGTCTTCACCACTTCCTTCCGGCTCCTCAACAAATTCCGCGCACCCTTCTTTCATCGAGCCCTGTGCTTCAGTAACATTGTCTGCGCAACAACCGAATTCCGTTGTCGAGCAATTTGAACAACCGGCCAAATAAGGCCCAGTCGCAAATGTCACATTATCCGGGCAGCAGCCAAATTCGCTTTCATCACATGCTGCAGTTTGTTTAGGCATTTAATATGCTGGCCATTGTTCTGACCAGAAGTGGATTTACAAAGTTTAGCGATTATTAACTTTCAGTATTCGGACCTCAAAAATTTTGCTGCTGAAATTCAAAAGAAACATTGAAAATTTAAAGGCGTTAAATTCCCATCCCAAACTGAGACATTCCGAATAATCTGCTTTGGCCTCCTGGACTCGTCGCTCCTAAACTTTCTCATAAAATAGCCTCACATCCCTCTCTTCTAGAACGAAGCAAACGGAACTGAGCTGTTTCCAACGATAGAATGGTACTACTAACACATCCAGATATCCTTTGACTTGCTTATGAAGCAATCTTCGGAAAAGAGAACTAACAACTACCTTGAAGAAGTATTTGCTGTTGAACAAAGCGTGAGAGTATCACTTAAATTTCCACGCCTCTTTACCACAAGAATGTTTAGTTAAGGCAATTCGAGTATAATTTAGATTTATTTCAAATCTCCAAAATATAGGCACTTGGACAAGGTCCCGTGTTGCATTCCTGCTGCTCCGATGGCTTCTCCGCTTCATCACACCAATCCGGTACAGGTTTTTTGTCATAGTTCAGGCAAACAATCATTCGATTTTGTGTTCCGCCGCCGCAGCTTAAATTAAATTCCGAATGAAATGCAAGAGGTCACCTTTTTTGCAATGTCCTCTTATTAGAAATCGTAAAGAAAGCTTATTTTGAGAAAAAATTTACTGGAGAATGACTGGATTTAAGAATGCTGCTTTTTTTCACAATCGGTCAAATTTTCATGATAACGTACTGTTTTATGGTCAGAACATTAGATAATTAAGGCAAACATTAAGCTCTATTAAGCTTTTCTCAGATTTTCATTTAATAGATCGACATTTCTCCATCGAAAGGCTCCGGATTGTCACCCGCGCTATTGCTGATCCCACAAAAAAATGAATCAGATCTCACCGTACTCATCTGTTCAGTTTCAAACCCCGTTGAATTACTGATGGCTCCAAAAGTTCGACCGCTGACCATGAAAAGTGAGAGAGAACGTTTGAAATCTCTGTTCGCAGTCGCATGTAAATATTTCAAATAAGTATTACTGTGGTAATTTTATCGGATTAGGAGAAACGCGCCGGGAGGGAGCAGGAGAAAAGGAGGGATGGTAACGCAAGTACGCCATGTTGAAAACGCAGGTGCGTAATGTGTCAAACATTTGGCGTTTCTGGAATTTACACCGGTGGATTGCTCACCTTGCTGTACACATACTCCACGGCCCAGTGTAATACGTCCCGTTACATTTTTCCTCATTCGTACAATTTTTCGTCGAAGCTGGCTTCGCTTCCATGTTGCAATGCGATTCTTCAACAATCTGCAGAGAAAAAGTTCAAAATTTCAAGTTAATGGTGTAGTTTCAGTAATAAATCGTATTTGTGCTGTGCTCACAGTTCCAAATTTAGGCTAAAGGCAAAGAAGAATTTGAAACTGCTCGGAAAAAAATGTCTTACAGAGGATTCTTTTTTTCAGCAGAATTTTCTAAGAATCATATTTAGAAATAGTGTTAGGCAAGGGGCGATGGAAAATAGCACCGATTAGTCGAGAATTCGACTTCACCAGTGTGATAACCAATTCCTCTATGATTATTTGTGTCGATGGTAAATTGATACTGGTTTATGCTTTGTAGTCAGACCAGAATCACCTCTGGTGTACCCATCAGCCTTCTTGTAAGCAACTCTTTAGAGGAAAGACTACTAAAAGTCTTGCACTTTGGTGGTTGCTGCTTGCTGTACTGCTACATGGGCTACCTTCGAATGCCTCCGCCTATCATACAAAACAAATACGGAAGAGGTTCTGGCTTCAGATTTTTGACACACTTAAAAAAAACCGCCAAAAAAATCCCCAAACAGTTATTTGTCTTCGAAACACCATGCTTTTATCAAAAGAAATAGCACAGACGCTTTAATTCGACGCTTACTGTCAGATCATCCAGCTGATGTATTGCGCATACAACACGCCTGGAATTATGTCCATGTCCACATTCAGTGCTACATTTTGACCATTCCGATGAATGCCACTCATAAATGCAAGGCTGCAATTTGTCATTATTTAAAATTTGAGCAGTTACTGACCAATCGTCGTAGAAGCAAGCCAATTTTAAAGCCAAATCCAAACTCCGCTGACATTAGTCATTTTCACGTCAAGCGTTGCATGCATAATTCTAAGTCTATGCACTGAATAACTAAATTCTCGTACCTGTGGTGAAGCACACGGTCGTTCATCAACGGGAATTTCAGTAGTATTATCGCTGAGACATTTCTCCAGGGGATAAGCTCGTCCGGTTGTATCTTTGCATGTCACATTTCTTGTTTCCTTCGTATCATTGCATTTTTCGCACTGCAAAAAATTCGCGCCTTGATTCCTTGTTCAAAATCCAGTTGAAGCCATTAAAGAAGAGGTAGGAGGTAATCGTTTAAAAATTTAAAACTCTTAACGGTTTTTTGTCACATTTAACCTTTTTACGATTCTTTCATTCGTTTCACAGGTATAAGGTACTGGCATATACTTGGAAGAACCCATCATCAGCTTACTTTTAAGCAACCTTCGAAAAAAGAAGCCACCGACAGCCCTATCGACGAGTGTTGCTTCTGGGACTTGCCGCTCTCGGAATACTTTCATTTTCATTGCTCAGGTGGAAATGTGACATTTAAGAGTGCGAAATGTAACATGTAAGAGTCCGTAAGAGTGCGAAATTGCCAGAGTGTAACTCTTTTTTAGAACGAGTCAAACTGATCACTGGAGATAAGCAACATAAAAAGTGAAAGAATGTAGGATCTGAATGGAGTATTTATGATCCCAGTTCATCTCAGTTCTACCTCTCTTCGTTACTTTTAAATTTGTTCCAGGATTTCCTTTTTTTGAAAATTTTAACATCTTTGAAAATATACCAGTTTCCATTCCGTTGTAAAAAAATTCAGTCCCTCACACGGTCCAAGGTTGCAATTTCGTTGCATTTCCAAATTATGCGTACCACATGCTTCAGCTGCCAGCAATTTCCCTTCCTCGCCTTCTTTTGCACTTCGACACGTTACCGAGCGATACTGGTGTGCATCACCGCACTTTTCCGAGCACGCACTCCAGGGACCCGCTTGCCATTCCGGACAGGAGAACCTAGGAAACGACGCATACGCGTAAAGTTGCTCTCACTTGATATTGTTTGCAAAAATACAGGAAAGCTCAAACTTTTTGCACAAAAAAAAAACAGCATGCTTTTAATGCAACTGTTGCAGCACAAAACGCACAAAAATTTTTTATGAGAAAAGAACAATCCGAGAATATTTCAAAGATTTTGAAATATAATGTTTTGGAAGACAAGCACCTGTGCTGCTAAAATGCTGGCATTCTCAGATGTTGCGTACTGTTTTGAGATGAGCTTGAGATGCTAGCAGAATCATATATAAATCACAAATGAAACCTGTTACAGGGTTGTTGCACGAATGGACGTTCCGCGGTGCAATTTGCATCATCAACGGTGATGCGCTTCCCATTCGAAAATACCTGGTGGCAGTAGACAACGCGGTATTGGGTACCTGTGTCACCGCATGTAGCGCTACATGGCTCCCACTCGCCATGATACCATCTATAATAACTTTTAACTTGTCCAGAAGATACTTCAGACATGATTAACGAGTTAGGCGGCTTCAGAAATTCTTGCGCACCTGCACAGGATGGACACAGGATGGACAATAACGCACTTGTGGAAGGCAGTTCTTTCGGGATTTTCTCAAGCAGCCAAAAAATCGCCCAGGCCAGATGAAATGGTTGGAGCCTTGAACGCTTAACTCAGCTCAGTCTTTGCAAATGCGTCTGTTTTTAGTGAATATGCACAAGTTCCTGCATTTGGGTGAAAGTTAAGGAAATCACAGTCGTATACAAGTGCCGGATTTTTCGTTTTTGCAGCATTTCAGGTACCGTGCATGAAATTGCGAGCTTTAACTCAGCATCTAGTTTCTTACTTAGCATCACAAATTCATAAAATCTCCTCCACGCCCTTCGCATTAGTCGCCAGCTCTGTCTCTAAAATTCTAGCTTTCCAAGCAAAGCTCCAGTTCCATTTCTGTCAATATAGTAGTTCCTCACCTCTACTACGACACTCCACAATCTACGTCCCAACCGCCTCTGCCTTACCGCGTCATCATCCGAGAAGGCTGGGCCAAATTTTAGTATTTTAGTAAAATTTTAGTAAGTGTAGAATAAATGAGTTAAGACAATTTTACAAGGATGTGTGGTTATTTTTTGGCCTGTCTGCCACTAGAATATAGGATCCGTGTTGTGCTTCT